CGTTGTTTGGAAAGAAGGTATTATCAGTGGGGTCTGGGGTCTGCTTTGGCCGCCCCTATATTTTGCCGCCCGTGTGCGGTGCACACTTTGCACACATGGTAGCGGCGGCCCTGAAAGGGTTAATTAATAAAATTATACCCGAGGAGTACTTATACATTGTGATCTATTATAAATCTCACCCCCTCCTTACTTTTTCATTTGACGTTTTTGACAGAAGTGTCAAATACAAATGTTTTAAGAAATTGTTAAAAGTTTTTAAAGTCATTTTCAAGCATAGAGGGTGCGTCAAAAAAGTGTAGCCTAGCAAAGTTTTATTTTTTTAAATGGAACACCATGTATATTGTGCGCCCATTTGTTAGTCCCCTTCAACCTGCTTTCAACGATATATGATTTGATATGTTTATCTCTCGATTTATCTTCGATAGTTATAGGGAAAAACGTGAAAATCCCTTCCTGATATTTTTTTTAAAATGATAATAATAGCTTATTTCATCTGGATTTATTATGATATTTCACCTTGTAAATTAATGAATATCATTTGAACAATAAATTGTTAATAAACAATTATCTCTATAGCGTGAATGGTATAATTTTTCATTCTTCAACATGAGACCTTGAAAGGGACTAACAAATAAGCGCACAATATACAAGGTGTATACCATTTGAAATAATATAACCTCGTACTGCTACACTTGACAGTTTCCTGAAACTTTTCTATTTGACACTTTTGTCAAAAACATCAAATAAAAAAGTTAGGAAGGGGTGACATTTATAATAGATCACCCTGTACTTTTTTAACGACTTCTGGGTAAAAATGTCGTGACACTCAAAAATGTTTGGGGTCCCTTTAGGGAGGCCCGTCGCAATAGCTGTACTGGGGCCCGCGCGTGCTTCGCACGGCCCTGTCTAAACGACAAACTTGACTTGAAAAATACTGGACGACCATTGCCAATATCGAATATTGTGCAGGTACAATCTAAATGTAAAAATAAGGTACAGTTTTCGCGAAAGTTTGACAAAGAAATACCTCCTACAATAAAAATTCGTCGTTATATGTCAAAAACTGGCTAGTACCCTAGTACTTAGTACCTACTCATGTTGCCCCTAAAATTTTGACCTTAAAATTTATATTTAGTGACTGACTTTATGATGACAAATTTTTAATCATTTTTGTTTGAGCCCCCCTCACATGATTGTCACGAGCCGCCACTGGATAAGGGATTGTCCTTTGGTGGGAATGTTTGAAATGGTTCTAGTTATGGTCCCAATGAAGTTTCAATGTGTTACAGTTTTCCCAAATGTACTTTTTCGATTTTTCTCAATTATTTTCATACTAAGGGTAGTTTTTAACACATTCTGACGGTAGATAAGGGATTGCCCTTTGGTAAGAATGTTTAAAATGGTTCTGGTTATCGTTTCAATGAAGTTTCAATGCGTTACGGTTTTCCGAAATGTACTTTTCCTATTTTTTCAATTATTTTTTTTTTATAACAAGTCTTTATTAAACCAACAAACTATGATAGTTTACAGAGGTTTTTCCTATAACTAAAAATTTATATAATATTAAACTTAAAAGTAAACAATAATAAACAATGTATAAAAACAGTGGTTTGCACCTAAATATTTTAATATTTAAGCACTCTTATAATTTTAAAATAAAAATACATGATTTTTTATTTTGTTTTTAAATTCTTTTGTATTAAGACTTCTTAGGTTAAGTGGTAGGTTGTTATACATTTTTATGCCTTTAAAGAAAATAGAATTGACGCCAAAGTTGTTTTTGGGTCTTATAACCTCCAGATTATTGCAATGTCTGGTGTTGTGGGCATGCACATTAATTCGTTTGTTGAATTTTGTTGAGGAATGTTTATCAGAGTTAACAATTTGGTGAATAAACGTGCATATCTGAGTCTTATAAATATCTTCTAAAGATTTTATTTTATAATTTTTATAAAGCTGCAAAGTGGGGAAAGTATGAGGCAGAGAATAAATGTTTTTAATTGCTTTTTTGTGGAGAATGATTAAGGGTTGTATTATCTTTTTCTTAGTTGGAAACCAAACCCCGATCAAATACTGAAGCTGACTCTGTATTAAGGAGAAAAACAGGGGCCTTAGAAATTTTTTTGGTATAAGAGCGTTGTTTTCTTAATATTCCAATTGGACCTCTTATTTTCTTTCTCAATGTTTCAATATGATATTGCCATGTCAGGGTTTCATCAATCCATAGTCCCAGGTATTTAATTTGAGTGCTGCATTGTAGCATTTTAGATTGGTCAATAATTATCGGTTCAGAAAAATTAGACTTTTTGTTGGAAAGGAAAATATAACTAGATTTTTCAATATTTAGACTGAGTTTATGTGAGTCCAACCAGTTTGATATGAGTTTTAGGTCATTTTTTATATTATTTTTAAGGGGGTCAAAAGAGTGGCCAAAGTAAACTAGCAAGGTGTCATCTGCATAGAGTCGTAAAATTCCTGAAAGTTTTAATTTTGAAATTGAGTTTATGTAAATGAGAAATAATGTGGGAGCTATGATTGACCCCTGAGGAACGCCACAGTTCAGTTTTTTTTCGGAGCTCCGTATTCCATCCATGGATATAAATTGTTTACGTGGATCTAAGAAACTACTAAACTATTTATGAGTAAAGAACATAAAACCTAATTTTTTTAAATTTTAGCATCAGGATCCCATGCCATGATCCACTGTGTCAAATGCCTTCCGAAGGTCAAGCGACACCATGGCACCCTTTTGTTTTTCATTTAGCTTCTTCTGAATATCACCGATCAAATCTAAGGTGGCTGACATGGTGTCACTTGACTCCCGGAAGCCATACTGGCATGGATAAAACAAATCTATATTATTCAAAAAGTTAGTTAACTGAAGGTTAGCAATTTTTTCCAATATGTTGGTCATTATAGGTAAAACACTGACAGGCCTGTAATTATTACACTGCTGACTGTCCCCCCCTTTGTAGAGAGGCGACACTTTAGCCAGTTTCATACTCACTGGTACTTCACCATCACAAAAAGATTGATTATTTTATACAATACACTGGCAACTTCAAAACGGCAGGTTTTTATAGTCTTCACGTCAATGTCATCATGACCTGGAGCTTTGATTTGATCTAGATCTTCAATTATTTTTAAAACTTCCACAAATGTTGTCTCCTGGAACTGGAATTTTTCACTTGATTCTTTCTCAAGGTCAGGGTTTAGTTCGCATTTTTTGATTTTCGATGCCAGGGAGGCAGCTACCGTAGTGAAGTAGGAGTTGAGGTGTTCACCTATGCATTTTGTGTTGGATATGATCTTATTTTTAATTTTAAGTGTTGATACAGTCTTTTTAATAGGCCTGTCACTATTAGTGACAATTGGATTTAGTAATTGCCACTCTTTTTTTGTGTTCCCTCTGACTTGTCCCAACTCTGATGAGTAGTACTCACTCTTTGCTTTTCTTATGATGCATTTTAAGTGTTTTCTTGAGTCTTTGTGTCTGACTTTGAGGTATTCATTGTTTGGGTGTTGCTGCGCTTTTTTATAGTAGTAATCGTTGGCTTGTATTGCATGCTGGATTTCCATGGTGAACCATGGTTTATTTATTTTTCTAGCCTTGACCTTTATTTGTTTGTATGTGGTATTACTTGAGAAACATTTAACCAGCGCCTCATAATTTTCATCAACACTATTTGCATGACTGATGAAGGAGTCGTTCAGCCTTTTAATATCTAATTTCAGCTGAAGGATGTTGACAACTTTTTTTTTGTATATAAAAGTTTTGCTTACCAGTTGGCTGCTGATGTTGATTGTTAAGTATTGTAGGTCATGATCACTTATCCCAGCCTTAATGACTGCAACTTTTAAATGCACATTTTGTATGTTAGTCATAACATGGTCTATAAGACTTCGATTTTTTCGAGTTGCAATAGTCTTGTTGCACAGAAAAAAACCATTTGATATACAGAGATCTTTATAGCGACTACGATTATTATTATTTTGCAGTATGTCCATGTTCACGAAAATTTGCGTTAGGTTTTCGAAAGTTTATAGAGCAGCGGGACTGTAGGCGCTAAATTCAATTTTGCCGCACAAATATTAATGGACATAAACCCGAGCCATACAAAGACAATGGAGGATTGGCACTTACTTGGTTTATGCTGGTTTTCGTCGATCCAGAGGAGCTCCTCGTGTCCAGAAAGTCTGCTTCTCAGCGACACACCAATACAACACAGTTTTAGAAAAAATAATAAGGAATTTTTGCCTTGAATTCGATAGGTTTTTTGATTTTTGATAACGACCGAAAAAGAGGACGTGGTTTTTAGAGACACTGCTTCGTACTGCTTCCTGCTTCCTTCTCATAAATCACATATTTTTCACATGCGCCGAGTCTGCGCAAACGGTGCCAATTTTGATTTGAACTTGTATGGCATTTAACGGTTTTTTCTTTCGTAATTTTTGAATGAATATATAAAATAACAAAGTTGCATGAACAGTCCATATTAAGGTCGCCTAACACCCAGGCATTTTTGTCATTTTGTTGGCTGAGTTGCTCCTCCAGTAGTTCCAGTGTATCTTGTACATTGTTTCTTTTTTTAGAGGGGTTATATATTACAGAAAAATGCATTTTTATTTCTTCTACATAGATACATAGATAGGTAATATCATTTTTTTCAGTTTCCTGTACAATGTTTGCTGTCAAGTTATTCCTACAAATATAGCACAGCCACCACCCCTCTTTGCTCTTGATGAATAAGCCACCGTATAATCTGGCAGATTGTAGAATTTTTTTTCATGCTCTGCAACCCAGGTTTCTGTGACCGCAATGATGTGAGTTTCAGAATTAATTTGTGCAAGATAGGCTTCTATTTTGTCTTATTTTGTTTTTAATTGATTGTGAATTGATATAGAGAACATTAATTTTGTTCCCAGTTTCAGGTAGGGAGCTATTATTAACTATATTAAAGAGATCAATTGATTGGTAACACTGAACAGTTACATTGTTATCAGTCCTGGCCAGAGTCTCCATCGAGGTTATCTTTTGGCATAGTTAAATTTGCTTTTATATCATCAATTTGCTCGATGGTGCTAAGTTTAACTATCTTGGCCGTGTCCGATTTACGGCAGAAGACAAGTCCATTTTTTAGCCATACATGTTTGAAGCCATGCTTTTTTAGTTCTCTGGCACTATTGTGTAGTGCCCTTATTTCTTCTGGGAGGTCTTCATTGAGGTATATATTATGTTCCTCACCTGGAAGTCCAATGTCAGCTGATGTTATTTTGCCTTTCGCCCTCCTGGCAAGCAGGATATCTTGCTTTTTGTATTCAGATGGTAGTGTTAGCAGAATTGGTTTGTGAGGTATTCTGCTAGGTAGTGTTTTTACAGTATACTCACTAGCTTGCACTTCAATGTTAAGAAGTCTAAGAAGCTTTTCAACATTAACCGACTCCTGGGTACCTTCGCACTGCAAACCCAAACCCATAATGATCAAATTTCTTTTTGTGTTCTCTGTGATTTGGGGATGAGAAGTTTTCAGTGATCCTTTGATTTTCTCCACTTCATTTTGTAGGTGGTTCACTTTTTTGCGCAGTAGTTCCTGCTCATTTTTTATTTTTTTATTTTCGGAGATAATGTTTTTAAAAGATTTCCTGAGTTCTTCCAGAATCCCGTTTGAGAATCCCATAGATTCTTCAAGCTTCTCAAACTTTTGGCTCAAATCAGGTATGTTTACATCTGTAGATGTGGATGTTTTTTTACGGATGGTTACATTTTTGGAGTCTCTGATCGATTTCCTTTTTGTTCCTCCAGGCTGGGTGGCCAATCGGCCCTGCGACTCGTCGGTGCTGCTTTCAGAAGACGAGGTCACCGAGTCTTGACTTTGTTTATAAAGTTTGCCCTGACTCACACGCATAGAGAGGCGGCGGTTAACCTCACTTTTGCAGCCCTTGCAGAAAAATTTTATTTTCTCAGCCTTGACCGCATCAAGATCTTCTTTCTTTAGTCCAGAACACGACAGGTGCATCCAGTCTTTACATGGACCACAACACTGAATTCTAAAGGTGCTTTTTCCCACTGTTTTTTCGCAAATTTTACACGATCGCGTGGGAGCCATGTTGCGCATGCGCAGTTTCTTTTTTTTTTTTTTTCATTTTTCATTTCATTTTCATACTAAGGGTAGTTTTCAGCAGACTCTGACAGCTGATAAGGGATTGTCCTTTGGTGGGAATGTTTGAAATGGTTTTGGTTATCGTCCCAATGAAGTTTCAATGTGTTACAGTTTTCCCAAATGTACTTTTTCAATTTTTATCAATTATTTTCATACTAAGGGTAGTTTTCAACACACTCTGACAGCTGATAAGGGATTGCTCTTTGGCGGGAATGTTTGAAATGGTTATAGTTATCGTCCCAATGAAGTTTCAATGCTTTACAGTTTTCCGAAATGTATTTTTCCAATTATTTTCATACTAAGGGTAGTTTTCAACACACTCTGACAGCTGAGAAGGAATTGTCCTTTGGTGGGAATGTTTGAAATGGTTCTGGTTATCGTCCCAATGAAGTTTCAATGAGTTACAGTTTTCCGAAATGTACTTTTCCTATTTTTTTCAATTATTTTTATACTAAGGGTAGTTTCCAACAGACTCGGACAGCTGATAAGGGATTGTCCTTTGGTGGGAATGTTTGAAATGGTTCTAGTTATCTTCCTAATGAAGTTTCAATGTGTTACCGTTTTCCGAAATGTGTTTTTTCAATTTTTTCAAATATTTCCATACTAAGGGTAGTTTTCCACACACTCTAACAGCTGATAAGGGATTGTCCTTTGGTGGGAATGTTTGAAATGGTTCTGGTTATCGTCCCAATGAAGTTTCAATGAGTTACAGTTTTCCGAAACGTGTTTTTTCAATTTTTTTTTTGAGACACAATGTGTGTAATGAGTTTTTTTTTTTACCGAGTTCTCCCTTTGAGGAGCTTCCTCATTCCATGGGGAAAATTTGAATTTTCTGTTTTTCCTGTCAAGTTTTTGGTTAGCTTATATTTGCAGTTTTATATATTTTTTAATTTTTTATTAAAGATTGATTTTATTTAAGGAATGTCTTCAAATAGATTTTTGAATTTGTCGTTTCTTCTTCGTTCGATGTGAAACGAGTTTTTTAACGTTTGGTTGGACCTTTGAGTTATGGCTTCTTTGAATTTTGTGTGTTTCCGGATGAGAAATTCCTTTATGGATTCGGCTTGGAGGTCTTCGTGGATGTCCGTGTTCCTGATGAACCACGGGGCATTTGTAATTCTTCTCAGGGCTTTGTTTTGGAAAGTTTGTAGTTTCTTCATGTTTGTGTTGCTTTGGTTGAAGAAGGCTGTTGAACCGTAAAGCAATTTTGGCCTCATAACTTGGTTGTATATTAGATGTTTTTTAAGTTTAAGTGACTTTTGGATTGTAGTACAGGTCGGAGTTGATGATATGCGGCGTTGCAGATTTTAAGTTTTTGTTGAGTGTTGTGATTGAAGTTTAGCCTTCTGTCTAGGAAGGTGGATTCCTAGATACTTGACTGTGTCTTGCCATGGAATTTCGATGTCGTCAATGGTGAGGTCTAAATGTGGTCTGGCTTATTTTTTATAAATTGCCATGGATTGCGTCTTGTCGGCATTTATTTTTATTTTCCAAGAATTTGCCCATTCCTGGATTTGATCTAGGTGATTTTGAATTGAAGCGATTATTGTGTCTGAATTTTTCTAGGATGCGAATATACAGGTATCATCGAGATTTTTGTTCGTGGGGATTTTGGGATGTCGGCTTGGTATAGATTAAATAGAATGGGGGATAGGGGAGAGCCTTGGGGGACTCCTGCTTCTATTGGTCTGGTGGTTGATAATGTTTTATTTATTCTCACTTGGAATTTTCTTTCTTTGAGGAATTGTGTGAAGTTTGGAGAAATCGTCTGGTTTTTGTGAAGTTTGTATACTAGGCCCTCGTGCCATACTTTGTCGAAAACCTTTTCAGCATCCAGTAGAATCAGTCCTATTGTTTATTTTTTGTTAAAGCCGTCTGTGATTTCTTGAGTATTTGTTGCTAGTTGTAGTTCAGTTGATAGGTAGCTTCTAAATCCAAATTGTTCGTCCGGTAGTATGTTGTTTTCTTCTATGATTGTTTTTAGTTTTTCGAGAAAAACGATTTCTAATAACTTCCCCAGGGATGGAAGTAGAAGTAGACTGATTGGGCGCCAATTTTGGGGGAAGGTTAAGTTTTTGCCGGGTTTTGAGAGGAGGATCACTATGGCGGTGTTTCATAGGGAGGGGAAGTAGGAGATTTGGAAGCAGGTATTGAAAATTTTGGAGAGTGTTTCTACGTATTCATCAGGAAGGTTTTTTAGGGGTTTGTTATTAATTATGTCTATTCCAGGAGCTTTTTTGTTTTTTATGTTGTGGATAATTTGTTGAAGGTCTTTTTTTGAGGTCTGTGAAGTGTTAAATTTTATTTGGCAAAATATGTTGTTTGTTAGTGCTTCGTTAGTGCTTTTTAGTGCTTCAATTGTTTTCGTTAGTGCTTTTTTCGTTTTCTGTATATCGATTTTTTTGTAGTTTCAAGGTCAGCCCTGACAATCTGTCAAAATGAACGAAACTTGTTACTATGTTTTAGTGCTTCGTTAGTGCTTCTTAGTGCCTCAAATAGTTTCGAAAGTGCTTTTCTTATTTCTTAGATATTTTAGATTTTCACTTCAAGGTCAGCCCCAAAAATTTTCCGAATTACCCAATTTTGGTGTCAGTTTTTAGTGCTTCGTTAGTGTTTCTCAGTGCTTCAAACAGTTGCATTCGAGAAAATTTCCTTTTTGAGATATTTAACTTTAAATTTTCAAGGTCAGCCCTCAAATTATATGGGATTGAGTTAAATCTAGAGTCGTTTTTTTGCGCATCGTTAGTGCTTTTTAGTGCTTTATATAGCTTTCTTAATGCTCTTTCCGTATTCTGATTATTTAGTATTTTTTACTTTTAAATTAGCACCCAAACTTATTCCAAATTCCAAAAAACACAGGAACGCCACTGAAGCCAACATCGGTTCATAGCAAGGATGATACACCAAATCACCAGTTGTGACGTAGGCATGTCCTTTCTCGGATGGACGTAGGCCTTTTGCACTACAGGTTATGATTCCGCGGGCTTTGGCTTCATGCATACTTGGTTTTATTCACGGTTTTACTACATTAATAATTAACATTCCAAAACAACCCTTTATTTAGATCTCGTTTTCATCTTCCTCTTTGCCTATTATATTGATCAATATTAAACAATATTTTTTTATCATAAATTTGAATTATTCTAAGCTACGACCTCCAGTGCGTGAGTTTTCGGCGTAAATTGCCATAAGTAGCTCCATTTCGTGCCAGAATATAACCCAGAGCTGGGATCACGACAAATAGAATTCTACTTTCATGACGTCAGGTTGCCTAGCAACTATCATCATCGCCTGTACTGTACGCGATAAATAGGTCGCGAATGACGTCACGAAAGTAGAATTCTACTTGTCGTGATCCCAGCCCAGGAGTCGTATTATATATCGAATATGACACAGGTATCAAATTTACTGATACTGACTTACTGATAGTTAAAAATATGCCATTTTCCAACTTGTAAAGTGCGGTTCCTCGTTGGGCGCTATTTAATGACAGAGCCATTCTGTTTAAAACAAAGGCGAGTTACCCCGGAGTGAGATGCTCTGGTGCTAAAAAAGCGCCAGTCAAAACTGCGTCTGAACGAACAAAATAGCACCAGCTAAAACAGTGACCTATTAAAATAGACCTTTCCAAAACAACTAAATAACCATAAAAGAGAGAGATAGAAAGCGCACCGGCACCTTAGATTTCCTCCATACTATAAACCAATGTTGGCTCCAGTGGCGTCCCTGTGTTTTTTGTACATTTTCGAACAAGTTTGGGTGGTAATTTCAAAATAAAATCAGAATACGGAAAGAGCATTAAGAAAACTATCTGAAGCACTGAAAAGCACTAACGATGCGCAAAAAAACGACTCTAGATTTAACTCAGTCCCATATAATTTGAGGGCTGACCTTGAAAATTTAAAGTTAAATATTTCGAAAAGGAAATATTCTCGAATGTAACTGTTTGAAGCACTGAGAAGCACTGACGAAGCACTAAAAACTGACACCATAATTGGGTAATTCGGAAAATTTTTGGGGGCTGACTTTGAAGTGAAAATCTAAAATATCTAAGAAATAAGAAAAGCACTTTCGAAACTATTTGAAGCACTAACAAAGCACTAAAACATAGTATTGAATTTCGTTCATTTTGACAGATTGTCAGGGCTGACCTTGAAACTACAAAAAAATCGATATACAGAAAACGAAAAAAGCACTAACGGAAACAATTGAAGCACTAAGAAGCACTAACGAAGCACTAGCAAACAACATATTTTTCCAAAAAAAAATTAACAATTTAGGGGCCAACTTCACGGACCTCTTTTTTTGTGGTTTTAATTCCTTCCCTTTTGTGGGGTTCATGCGTTGGGTTGATTTTCTTTATTGTGTTGTGGATTCTGATTTCGTCGTCTTGGTCATAGTCCATCGATTAGTTTGTGGTAAATTGTAGTTCTAGGGAATCAGCGAATGCTTCTGCCTTGGCTTTGTCATGGTACACAATGCGAAGATTTGCACTATGGATTGGCGGCATTTCTCGTATATTGGTTCTATTTAGTAGGGATTTTTGGGTTTTCCATAAGTTTATTAGGTGGTCTTCTAGGTTGAGGCTGGAGAGGAAGTTTTCCCATTTTTCGTTTTTGTAAGTTTTTATAAGTTTGTTGATCCCCTTGGTTGTCTGGTTAGCTTGTTTGTTGATTTGCGGCTCTTTTGTTAGTTTCGCTCTCCTTTTGAATTTTTCTTCCATATGGACTGGGAGGAGGAAAGGATTTTTTTTTTATGTTGATAGTTGAGGAGGTTTCTTGTAGGGCTGTTTGAATGGTTTTTGTTAGGGTGACCAGAATTTCTTCGATGTTGTTTGGGTCATTTGATAATACAAAAGTTGCCTTGTTCTCCAGTAGCTTTTTCTTGAAGTTTTGCCAGTTTCTTATATTAGACCGTCAGATAGTGACATATTTAGGTGCCTCATT